GATACATCAAAGTATCTGGCGTGCACCGAAAAGGTACTGTATCAGCCTCGGTGTGAGATGTGGAGAGGGAATCCCAAGTGAGTGAGACAGGGGTCCTAACAGCCTCAGACGAATGCAGCTTCCAAATGTGCTAATCAGTCTCTTAAACGTATCTTTGTTTCTTCATATATCATCACCATGACGATTGGGTTGACCTGGTTCCTTGGGATAAGCTTATTGTTCGCAATAATGCTACTCCTGAATCCTCAGGAAATAGTCCTTTCTAGATTGTCTTTGGCCGGCATCCATTTGGACAAAAAAAAACAAAAAACATTTATTCATTTATAGCATATCTGTAAATGCAGCCATTATTTCTAAATCTGAATACAAAAACCTAATTATTTTAGCAAAATATACAAGATGTAATTTACAGTTGCCATATATACATGCAAATCAGTTGAAGCCTTTATGGTATGTGGTTTTATTGAAGGGCTAGCACTTTCGCATTAGCTCAATTTCCAACTCTGCAGTATTGTTTGAAGTTGTGTACAGAGTCATGCACTTCAAAAGTGTTATATATATCAAATATGTGTGAGGGTTGGTATGATTAGTTCCACTATTGCTGCATTTGTAAGCATGGGCCTTGATTAAGGACCAGGGGCAGACAGAACACTGGACTGAGGGACTGAGGCTCTTGGAGGTCCATCTGCTGTTAAGAAGGAAAACACCAGCTGGAAAGATCACAGAACTCCCCAATTGGTAATTTAGCATCTAAGGGTCCAGACCACAGAGCCCTGTTAAAAGCCTTCCCTCTTGCGCCATCATCTCTCATATCGTGCCTCTGTAGCATGGCTGAGCTGATACAGTCACACTGACTGTCCACCAGCATCTGCAGAAGCTCTGTTCTCATCTGAAAGCTCAGTCACTCACTGACACACAGATACACATACGGAAACACACACAGATACACATTCTGGCACAAACACTCAGATACACACTGACGCACATACATATTGACATGCACACGAGTAATACTTTATCCATTTGCAGCCACCCTCCTGTTAGCTTACCTTTGTGTCCAGGAGGGTGACTTGCTGGGGGTTCTGATTATGGCTGAGGCTGATGGGAGTGAGCATGCAGCTAGGGTTTCCACCTTTTTTGGAAAGAAATACAGGCCAAGCTGATTTGCATAATTAATTATATATGTGATATCACAGGACACAACATATAAGAGAATGAAAACATTTGGAAAGAGAAAATGCCCTAAATCGCTAATAAACTACTTGTAATGTGTGTACTTTGTCTGACTGTGGACTCCTCAGTATCCCAGGGAAATGTCCACCAGAGCACTCATTTTGTTCATGTGAAAACAGCAGGATATCAAAATGTTGATAAAGCATCTAAATAGACATGAAACACAATCAGGATTACTCTAGGATCCAATGCTTTTTTAATTTCCTCTCCTTCTATCCCATACAAAGATATTTTAAGCCTTGGAAATTTTGTTATCTTTACATTATATTTGGTGGATTTATAGTGTGTCTGCACTATTTCTGTTAACTTGGTACTACAAGGAGGACTTAAAATACTTTTTTTTTTTTTTTAATTCTTTATTTTTGTAGTGCATAAGCTTAGTACAATTGCTTGTGAGGTACCCCAAAAGCAATCCTCCAGCGCATTATAAAACATTTAAACATAAAGGTACAGGGTTGATCTTGCACATTTTTATAAGGTTGATTTATGCGGTATACGGTATCGATTGTCATTACTTAAGCATATTCATAACATAAAATAAAATAACTTCGCTTAACTTTCTGCTCATGGAATAAAATTAAGATGCTGTGTCTAGTGTAATGGTGACTATACCAGCAAACTAGTGTAGTTGATTCAGTTTTGTGAGTCGCTTAATAGAATCATGTTTTTAATAAGCTGGATTAAGATGCTATGGAGCGAATGTTAGACTAAACAGTTATAATAATAAATTAAGGTGGTCAACGCTTAACGGAGCTAGGATAGCTTTGCTAGTGTAGTTGAAGTGTGGCCTTGTGGTTTGCAATGTAACAGTATTTGGGTCGTGTGTGACGTGTCTGCAGGTTGTGCTATTCTCATGAAGGCTATGATGCAATAAAAAAACAAAAAAAACAAGTAACTTTGCTATGTCTTGCCTACAGTGTAGTGTTATATTACTACGTTGTCTAAACATAATTGCGTGCTGTTTTATTGATGGGTAACTAGACATCAAGTCTGCGATGGCATGGGGGTGTAGTCCACCTATGGCCCTATGTAGCCGTCTGAGTCCGGGTATTCCGCTGTTGCAAGATTTTGGAACAGTTCAGGCCAGAAATACCTGTGAGGCAACGTGGTAGGCACTTCAGCCTATACCCCACGTTGGTAAGTCCCATGTGCTGTACTTATTAGTCCCTTCAACTGCTCCGATAGTTCCCCAGTGTTGTGCAGCCGTGTGGCCACTTGCGATGTAGCTTCAACTGGGGTGATGCACTTCCTCTGCCTGTCTCGTCCCCCAGGATCTAGCCTCTTTGCGCCTCGATCAGCATCGCGGCGGCCTTTGTGGGTGGCAGTGTGCAGGTTGGTGTGTTGCTTTTCATTTTTTGCTGGGACCGCTCAGTGAGGGGTAGGTCGGGTCTTCTTCTGTGATGCGGAATCAGGGGTTTCAGCGTTCAAGGGGCCCGGCGCCGTTTCCCGCCTTTTTGAGCTTCAACTTTGATTCAGTTTGGAGGCTACCCTGTGAGGGGGAGTCCATTGCAGGCTGCGCCGGGTGGTCGGGCGGACCCATGCCGCCAACTCTCTCATCGCCAGCCAGTAGGGTTGTCTCCGAGTGTTAAGCTTTGCCCAGAGATGAGAGCGTAGCAGGTCTATGAAGTCCCTTGTGTGCTTGGGTGGTGCGATGCGTGGGTGCTTGGTCTTAGGCCTCGCCGCCATCTTGGCCGGGCCTTGTGAGTTTCGCTTTGTTGGCGATTTTGTTGCTTCTTCAGGTGTGAGTATGGGGGTAATCGTCCCCAGCGAGGACCGGGATGTCCCCCACCGGTCCATAGGGGGGGGCAGCAGGGCTGCGATGGGCTGTTGCGTAGGAGCGTGTCCCGTGCCGGGAAGTCGGCCATCTCCCCCGGGCCTCAGGTTCTGCACTAGTTTAGGCCGCATGGTCGGTTGAAGTTTTTCCTCGGTGCATCCGTGCTGGGTGTGTATCATTGTATGCAAGATGCTGTTCTGCGCCTGCTTCCGGTCACCGTTTGCTGCTTGTGCCATTATTACAGTCGGTAGCATCGCTTTTTGGCTCGGTGTTGCAGGAGCTCTTAAAATGTGCGACTGGCCATCTTAGCTGTCAGGCCCCGCCCCCAATATTTTAAAATTTAAAAACACCTGCATGGGGGATTTCACTTAGCTTAGTCTTCAAAGTAAGTGTATACTTATGTACAAATAAATCATTTAGAAAGTTACTTCTTTCTAAAACCTTGTTAAGCATTGTGCAGCGGCTTTGAAAGTCTTTGGTTACATGTAAGCATGACCTTTTTCCTTGTCAGTACACTGGTGGCAGCCCATGGTGTCTAAATGTGGTGCTAGTTGTAGTTCATAAAGCCTGTAATTCCTTCTGTTATTGTTTAGAATGTATTATTTATATCATTTAAAATAATTCTCCTTAAGCTAACATATCTACACATATCTACAATTCCCATATTTTTCAACTATGAATGCCACATCTTATTTACACCAATTCTATGGTACAGTTTCAAAAAATAAATCATTTTAATAATAAAAAAATAATTTACTAAAACACAGGGGTTTAGCTATTTCCTAATTAGGCTCTCTATGTTCTCTGGATGTATACTATCTGTTAGGACTTTATTTATTGACATTTTGACTGCTGTTGCTATATAAGGGAATCAAAATGTCTTGTAGTATTGGTTTGAATATCAATAGCTTTCTATACTGAATAAAAAAAGGTTTAAAATGTTGTGATGTCCTGATCTTCATTACACCACATTAAGGGATGCAATGAAAATGACTTGTGACTGCCAAAAGTTGGGATAACATTATATTTACAAAAAAACACACTGATACACAAGCATCACGATGTAATATGTTTGAATAAATGCAAGTAACAAAACGCAAATGCCAACTCATACTCAATGAGCAGATCAGTTCTCAGTATAGAAAACATCTATGCTAAACATCTCTGCTAACAGATTCACCTATATGTTATTCTTCTTCTGGCTTTATAGTACAGTGGAATAGGGTGAATAAAGAAACCAAACTTCACAACAGATCCTAGCAATGTAATTGTTATTTGTATACGTATAAGTGAATTTAGTAGGAATTCATAAGTATGTTATCCTGGAATTAAAGAAAAAAAAACAAAATTACTCAATTAACAATTTTTGCAATATTTGATGTTTTCCAGGTCATTCATTAATAGTTTTCAATTTATATTCATACATATTTTGTATCTTTTCTTTACAGCCCAATCAAGCAATCCCAACTTCCAAATCAACTCTGTCACCAGTGCACTCATCTCAGGAGTGGTAATCCTTGGTGCCACCAGCTTTTGTTTCTTTATATTTTCTCTTACTCTCCTCAGCAAGAAGAAGCAAAACAGTTTGGTTTTATGTGGTGTACAAAATCCATCATTCAATTAAATTGAGATATTTGAACACAAAAATACAACAGCAAAAACATTTGACATCTAAATTTGATTCCAAATGGACATCTCTGTGGAAATCTCTGTGGCATGTTGCCATTTAAACCCTATGCACCTTGGACTCCCTGTATATTAGAATGTATACTGTTTTGCATTGGGGAATACAATTAATATTTTATATTAGCTTATGAATATTAGATATAGTTTACTTTTTAAATGGATGATATATATATATATAGATATATATATTGTTGCATTATAGCTAATTAAATGAGTGCATAAAAATAGTTTTAAAAAAACTGAAAAATATTCCAGAAATTGTTTTTATATATGATTGATTAGTTGTCTCTAAATTTGCCAATTAGATGGTGTTTCTAAACTATTTGTTCATATCGCCATGTTCAATAATACAGGATTTTCATGCACAAGAAAACTTACCTTTAATTAACTCATGAGCAATATTTATTTATATGCTATATTCGTAACAAACGTAATGGTGACATTATATAAATTAACGGAAATGCAATATCCACAATTTGTATAGTAATTATTACTTTCAATGCAAATTGGTATACTGTTTTCCTGGCACTATAGAATCCTACTTTGCCCCCTTAATCGTCCCCCCCCCCACCCCCTCCCGCAGCACTGAAGGAGTTAAAACCCCTTCAGTCACTTACCCGAAATTATTATTTTGAAATCTGGAGTTTCTCAGTATCCCACTTGACATATGAATTGACTTATTCTTATGTACTAAATATTTTTTAAAAAAATCACACATATAAGGAGGTATGTTGCTTTCTAGCTCTGTTAAGTGAAGTATTTCAACAAAACCGATTACTCAGCACTGTATAAACGCAGAGCGAAGTGATATTTATCATCCGGCTTTCAGCTCATTTTATATGTTACCATCAAAGTAACCTCTTATGAGGTATGTAGAAAATTATGATGGATGCTTCCTGTAGTTTAATTATAGTAATTGTGCATTTATCAGAATGTATAATGTGTGCAGAAAAGCATGTAACATCAAGGACAATGCATTTCTAGACTTAATGCTGAACATTCATTTTTGTATAATGTTCCTCTAGAAGATATTTAAGTGCCAATCTGTATGAAATTCATTGTTTTAAACACTCATTAATAAAATAAATATCTCATTTGAAATTGTCTCTCAATTGCATTAGTACACCTCTGCCGAGGTTCATATTTTCACAATGAAAACAGAAAAGTAAGAAATTGCAAAGCTCAATGAAACTATAACATGCTCTACTTGTTTGATCTTTTGATCTGTGTGTTTTGTGAAAATTATCCTTTGATTAATTGAACAAGAGATATCATAAGGTATAATTAAATGCAACATGATTTGAAAAAAAATCACTGATGAAAAAGAGTAATTCTGGGCCAATCTCACTTTTAAAAATAATAGATTGATGAAAATTATTACTTTGCAATATCTTCTTTCACACAATTTGAAACAAAACATGCCTTTTTTAAAACATGCATTGCAATATGAACCTTTCCAGAGGTTATATAGAGTTATATATGTATGAATCTGCTTTTTTGATGTTCTTATATTTCTTAAATCAATAGCATTTTCCCTAAAGATACACAGTTGGTAACAATTAATCACTAGTGATGTCGCGAACCCGAAATTTTCGGTTCGCGAACGGCGAACGCGAACTTCCGCAAGTGTTCGCGAACCGGCGAACCGCCCGAAACGCCATTGACTTCAATGGGGAGGCGAATTTTAAAACACACAGGGACTCTTTCTGGCCACAATAGGGATGGAAAAGTTGTTTCAAGGGGACTAACACCTGGACTGTGGCATGCCGGAGGGGGATCCATGGCAAAACTCCCATGGAAAATTACACAGTTGATACAGAGTCTGGTTTTAATCCATAAAGGGCAGAAATCACCTAACATTCCTAAATCACAATGAATATGGATTGACACCTGACATATGACATATTGACACCTTGACATATGGATTGACACCTGTCCTCAGAGCCCCTGATGCACACGGACACAGAGCAGAATAGAGACTGGTCCCCCTACATAGGGTCACTTGGCAGATATGGATTGACACCTGTCCTAAGGATCCCTGATACACACTGACACAGAGCAGAATAGGGACTGTTCCCCCTACATCGGGTCACTTGGCAGATATGGATTGACACCTTGTTACAAACTGCTATTTGTAACGGGCCCTTTAAATGGCAAATTGCCCTGCTTTCCTGGGTTGTGGAGAAGCCTACTTGCCAGCCTCCTCCCGCATGACTATGGCCCCTGGGAGATTGTGAAAATGTATGCACTTTTATTTGGTGTGTATGGCCCTTTAAGACTGTCGGTGGGCATATTGGGGCTTATGGACTCTTTATGTGACTGGTGCTGGCCCTTTAAACACCTTTTTTGGGACATCAGGAAGATTGGGACACTGCCCCTTTAAGGCCGTGTCCCCAGACTTGTTGGGGACACGGCCCCTTTAAGACGGTGTCCCCTGTGTCCCCAGACCTGGTGCAAACCCTTTGTGCCTGCCTTGCTATTTCCCACTTGGTTCAGTAAATGGGAAATTATTTCAGCTGTAGAGACTAAGTCCCATTCGGCGATGGGACTTAGTCTTTTTTTCAGCCGTTTTTTTCAGCCTTATTTCAGCTGCAGAGACTAAGTCCCATTCGGCGATGGGACTTAGTCTTTTTTTCAGCCGTTTTTTTCAGCCTTATTTCAGCTGCAGAGACTAAGTCCCATTCGCGATGGGACTTAGTCATTTTTTCAGCCTGAAATAGACTGACCTCACAGCCCAAATCTATGGAACTGTTTTGGGCAGGAAAATGTGCTTGCGGTCGGTCATAAAGGGACCTCCAGCCAACTTTTTAACCCCTGGATGGATTTGGCTGATTTTTGGTTATGTTTATGTTTTAAGTGTGCTGATTCCAAATATGTAATTATGAAGATGGGATGTGTAGTTTTAAAGTTACAGGGTATGGCTAAAAACTGTATTTTTACTGCCTGTGTTTAATTATGTTAATCTCTTCCCAAACGTCATTTCGCTCAAAGTGGAGAGAATGTTAAAAAAATATATTTTTGTTCGGAGTGTGAGAAATGCTTTTCAGCCGCTTCTAATCTTAAGCATCATTTGAGGAGCCATACAGGAGAGAAACCTTATTTGTGGTGTGTTTAGTATTGTTCTGATCAGTTTAATACCTTCCGCGTCTCCTATCAGTGGACGTGTATATGGCAGCCATTTTAGGAACCGTACACCTGGGACCCGAGCAAGGTCACCTCGTTCAACAGGCTTGCAGCGCATCCTCCAGGAAGAAGAGCCTGAACCCTTACAGGCTGCACGTGTCTTTACCTGTACATGGAAAGCTGCTGTGGTTCCTTGATGAGCCAGCTGCCCGTGAGTTAACATGTCCCGCGGAGAAGCACTCTGTCCTGTAAAGCCTCACCAAAAAAAAGGAGTGGTGTGTTTAGTATTGTTCTGACAGCTTAATACCTTCCGCGTCTCCTATCAGTGGACGTGTACACGCATTGATTTTTGTAACAGGGAGATGGAAGAAGAGGCTTGGTCGGTCCTCTTACTGCAAATTTGGGGCACTGCGCGGTCAAGCTAATGTGACACCAGATAGGAGTGGTGTGTTTAGTACTATTTTTATCAGTTTAATACCTTCCGCGTCTCCTATCAGTGGACGTGTACATGGCTTTGATTTTTGTAACAGGGAGATGGAAGAAGAGGCTTGGTCGGTCCTCTTACTGCAAATTTGGGCACTGCGCCGTCAAGCTAATGTGACACCAGATAGGAGTGGTGTGTTTAGTACTATTTTTATCAGTTTAATACCTTCCGCGTCTCCTATCAGTGGTCGTGTACACGGCAGTAATTTCTGTAACAGGCAGATGGAAGAAGATGCTTGGTTGGTCCTCCTAACTGGAGACTGTGTTGCTGTACGGGTGGCAGGTGGAGCCATTTATAAAGTACACACTGCTTTATAAAGCCATTTATAAAGTACACACTGGCGGCTTGAACCCAAGTTGGTGGCGGATAAGTCACGCAAGTCAACAGGCATTCAGAGCTAAAATACAGCAGCGTGTGGACCATTTTTAGCCCAAGGCAGCTCATCTCATCAGGCCTTTTTTACATAGGGTCACTTGGCAGATATGGATTGACACCTGTCCTAGGGATCCCTGATACACACTGACACAGATCAGAATAGGGACTGTTCCTCCTACATCGGGTCACTTGGCAGATATGGATTGACACCTGTCCT